AGCGACTCTGATGTGACAGATTCACATTTGGAAGGAGGAGCTTCCGCGTGCGTCTGGTGGTGAGTTTGGAGCTTTTCCGTCAATGGCTGGTGGATAGCAGAAGATATGTTGGGCGGAGGAAAGAGAGGTGGAAGAGAGGGTCAAGGAAGGAGAAAGGGAAGGGAAATGATTATTTTACTATTATACCCTTATTAAAATTGTTAGTAGGGTGCTAACATTATTGGGTGTTAGCACTCTATTCGCTCCACCTCATCATATATTTTGCTTGTTGCACAAGATTAATTAAGTTATTATTAATTTGCGAATGAACTCAAATAAAACAAAGCTATAAATATTTTATTATTACTGAAAGTTGCGATTTCCACTAAAATTTTTAGGCTCCGCCAAAATTTGGCAGACGCTAGACGATATCCTAACGCTTGCATTGCTGCAGATTCCACAATTGACTGAAGGTATTGGTACAATGTTGGTTGGGAACAGAGACACATGGCGGAGTTCGTTGGGAGTCTTCATTAATCCAACTCGTGCCTTACCGATATGATCATGTGGATAATCTCTCTTTGCATATAGCTAGTTACATGTCAAATTCAACCCATGGTTTGGCCAATCTAATTAAACTTAATTAATATCATTCCCCCTTAGATGATTACTGCCAAAACCTTTTACTCATTTGTTGTTTTAATCATCACTGGTTCAATCTGATTTGAGTTGTCTACGTGTACACACCACAAGGGTAACAAAAGTTCAGCTACTTAATAACAATTTTGTATTCAAATTTTAGACCCTGATTATTTAAACAATCATCAATGCAACATTTTAATAAATCTTTATAGTGCGGAGGATTTCGGAATAGTGATGGAGTTATATGTAGTTTGGTGGGGTAATGTCTTGATCATGTATAAATAAATTGTGACAAGGTGGTAGGTTTGTTAGACAATACGCAACACGAACGAAACATAAATGAAACAGAACAACGATCGACACATATTTACATGGTTTCTCGTTCAATATGCACAAAACTAGTTCACGGCCAAAGCGTCACCAAATCCCAATCTCATTATTCATATTTATTATTCTTTCTTGTGTCCTGCGGCTTACATCTCACACATACACAATCCTGAACCATATGGACAAGGACTCTCTTTCCTTGTCTTATATGAAACACATAAGCGCAACCTAATACCAGTTACATGTGAACTACAAGTCCTTTATACAATAATAATCATCTTCTAACACCATCCTCCAAATTCATGAGGGGAGCGCATAATAAATTTGCGAGAGAGATAAGAATGCCGACTCACAATGAAGGTTTTGGTAAATAAATAGGCTAGTTGGTCTTATGAAGCAATATAGAAAATTTGAAGTCTCATCTCGAATAAGGTTACGAATATAATGAACCTAAACTTCAATATGCTTCGCGTGATCATATAGTACGAGATTGGTTGTAATACGAATAACACTCATGTTGTCGACAAAGAGCTCTAATGGAACAGGACACGTCACACCAAGATCTCCAAGAAGACGCCATAACCATTCCAACTTAGATGTAACATCTGACATGGCTCGAATTCAATTCCATGGGTGTAGCAGCAGGAACACACGAATCAAAACGAGTTGTCTCGAGTAAATCATGAATGTATTTTTGATGGAAAATAATAGCTTCGTAACCTCCAACCCCAAACAATATGACAAAGATCCGAGATTCTTCAAATGAAAAGACTTATGAAGACCCGCAATAAGTTCCTTTCATTGTTAGTTGTTCTCTTTGGATAAGATTGCAGCGTACAGCCTCAAATTCAGGTTTTAGCTTTAAAATTAATTGCAGCAGCCTAATTATGTTTCTTTCACCTTGAATTTCCTTAGACACAGGACCAGTATAAGAAGGGAAGCCAATAGCATATCTTGCTCTGTTCAGATCACCCTTATAAAATAATAGTCGAGATGTCGAACAGAGTTGTGGCGAAGCTCTATTAACAATTTGGGGAGCGGTTTTTCTGCATAACCTAAGGGTGCATAACCCTGTACTTACGATTTATGAAAGGTTACAAACTTTCCCCAATAAATTTTTACGGGCTATATCTTTTTTGTTTTAAATCAAAACAAAAGAAGTTGCACATAAAAATAAGATTAATTGGTCTCTTCAAAATGCCATCCACTTTGATATATTTTTGAACATAAAAGTTGAGACTTTTTTTTATAACGGTGACATCATATTATTAATATTAAAACAAAAAAAGAAAGCAGAAATACACATAAGGAACCAAACGAAACAGAAGAAGAAAGCAGTAAGAACAACAAAGAGAAGGATCCTCTAGTGTAGGACAAAGGCTCATTTCTCTATAAACATTCGACAAGACAGAAGCCAAAACGAGAAATGGATACTCTCGCACCAGGCGGGACAAGATGTGAATTCCATCTGTGACGCAGCTGCACACAACGCGTAACCCCAATCATCCAAACTCTACAAAGTAGGCAAAACCTATGACGACCGCCCGCCACTGCAAGCAAGCCTTCCACCTATAACCCTCCATCAACCTTGTCCATGTCCACCTTGCTTCACCCATAACAGTGATCCCGCTCCTAGACAAAAGTTCTTCAACCTGGAAATTCAACAAACAGGATACCCCTACAATCAGAAGAACTCCTGCAGAAGAAAAAAAAACTCATCTTCTTCTACCGTCACAAGTTCTTGTTCTTAAATTCTTTAGACATTCTTCCACCATAGCTCGATCCACCTTATCTGCCACGAGGAGCCATTCTGCAATCAGGTTGCCCGCCCTGAAGGCAACTATTTGCTCTGTAGTTGTCGTGCCATCAAAGATCCTGCTATTTCTTTCTTTCCAAATGCTCTAGCAAAGAGCATGAAGGAGGGTTTTGGTACACCACTCCTTAGGATTAGACGGTTTTATTTGCGACCAAACTTGGATTACTTGTGTAATATCATTCAAAACCTGCTCAACAAAAACAAAGGCCCGTAGCACATTCGAAACTCTCTGCGCAAAGACGCGTGTAAGAACATACATGCTTGGAAAGCTCCACCCTCTTGTCTTCAGCGAATCATGAGTCAGAATCTTTTTATGTTGGGTTTTCCACATGAAGGTACACACCTTTGCGGGATATGCCCTTGCCAAATTGTGTTGTACAGGAAGTCCTCCTGCTGCGGAAACTTCTCCTTTGCGAGCTCCTGATACATTGATCTAACTGAGAAAGTTGCCGATGATGATCCTTGCCAAGATAAGGAATCTCGTGTTGTAGAAAACAAATGAGAGTCAAAGTGTTAAGAAGATAAAATAAACTCTCCCTCTCCCTCTCGGCCCCACCCCTTAAGCTAAATTTAAGAGGTATTTCCCATCTAACTCTCTTAGATTGAATATACCAGCATTGAGCGACCGTAGCTAGTGGGAAAGCAGCAGCCGCCGCCACCCTTGGAAAGACCTCTGCGAGTGGTCTTTCGTTGATCCAACGGTCATGCCAAAATAGTATACTCTCACCTGTGTCGGGTTTAACTCGAGCCATTCTCCAAAAATCAGTAGACAACTTTATTGCTTGCTTCCATGGGCTGCAGCCGCAAGAACCAGAAGCCTCACCATTACTCCAACTTGTTGCCCCAACTATAGATTTGATCTTCAACAGATCATTCCACCAAATGTTATTATCATTTGCAAACCTACAGTGCCACTTACACACTAGAGCTTTATTCTGCAGCTCTAAGTCCTGTATACCCAGACCTCCGCACTTCTTAGGCGGCTTGCACCTTCCCCATGCCACAAGATGAATTTTCTTATTATCACTACACCCTGTCCAAATAAAATCCTTCTGAATTCCTTCAATCTTTCGCACGACCCCTTTCAGCGCAGTGAAAAGTGAACCTTTAAACAATGGCTGACTTGCTAAACAGACGTTGTTCAGGACAATCCTCCCTCTAAGGGAGAGAAGGGAACCCTTCAAACCTTCCAACTTTTTTCTGTAGTCTAGTTATTACCGGGTTCCAAATTTCAGAAGACAAAGGTGCGGAGCCGAGAGGAAGACCAAGGTACGTGGTTGGGAGGTAACCGCAATCACAGCCAAACACCTGGGCGAGTCTCTCCGGTTTCTCAACCTCCCAATCGGGAAAAGTTTACTCTTCTGCAGGTTCACCCTTAATCCGGTGACACTTTGGAAGCATACAAGTACGGCCAAGACATTCATAATTTCCTCTTCTGTAGCCTCACAAAAAATAATGGCATTGTCATCATACAAGAAGTGCGTCACTTCCCCTCTCCTGCTTCTTGGAGCACGAACGATAACATGTTCATATTAAAGAACAAAGGGGACAGGGGATCCCCCTGCTTTAAACCCTTTTCAGTTTTGAAGTAACCCGAAGCTTCCCTGTTGACTAGGACAGACAACCTTGTAAATGAGACTAACCCCTTTACCCACCTTTGAACCTTAGCGGTAAATCCCATAGACTTAACCGCTTTGTAGAGACAACCCCAGTCAACTGTGTCAAAATCCTTTTCTATATCCAATTTTAAAACCACTCATGGTCTTATGCTTCTTCTTCGGCTATAAACCAACTCATTCGCAATCAAGATAGCCTCATGGATCTGGCACCCCCGAATCCATGCGAATTGATACCGAGTGACAGTCTTATCCATAAGAGGTCGCAATCTTGCAATCACAATTTTAGAGATCACCTTGTTGATGCTGCCAATCAGAATGATTAGTCTGAACTGACTTATATCTTCAACAACCTCTTTCTTCGGGATCAAACAGATTAAAGAATGTGCTACCGAATCTGGAAGAAAACTTGAAAGGTAGAAATCATCCAACGCCTTGATCAAATCACTCTTAATCACGTTCCATCTCTTCTTATAGAGTTCGAGGGTAAAACCATCCGGATCGGAAGCTCTGTCTCCATCGCAGCCTAAGATTGCCTTCCAGATTTCAGCTTCGGTAAAAGGGACACTAAATGTCGTGTTGTCCTCCACATTGATCAGACCTGCTCTGTACCCTCTAGGTTAAGGCCTCTCCTCCCTAAGCTCCATAAAACGTCCCTGAAAATATTCCGCAATAGCCGACTGCAACTCTTCTTTTGTTTCTGAATATGTCCCATTCACCTTGATATTATTACTTTTTCCTTCTATGGTTACTCTTTGCCACCATGTGAAAAAAGAATTGTTTTTCTCACCGACTTTCAGCCATATCTCACGCGATTTCTGACGCCATGTAATCTCCTCCTTTAGCAGAATCTTTTCCAACTCACATCTGAGAAGAGCCCTTTCAACATGTTGTGCTTCTGAAATGGTCCCTTGCTCCTCTAACTTGTCAATTTCCTTAATCTTTCCAAGAATCCCTGCCAATTTCAAATCCAAATTACCGACCTTCTCCTTGTTCCAACCCTTAATCATGAACTTTGCGTTTCTCAGGCGTTTTTCAAAGAGAAAAAGACTTTGAAACCCAGCACAGGAATACTCCACCAACCTATTAAGCTTGACAAAAAAGACGACTCCAACAAACACATATTGAGAAATTTCCAAGGCCGCCGAATCTTCTCCTCGATCCCCCAACTTAGGGGATTATGGTCTGATTCCACTCTTTCCAATGCAAGAATTGACTCAGGAGCGAACAAAAGTCAAATAGTTGGTTGATCATAGCCCTGTCAATGCGTGAGAAAGAATTACTTCTACCCCTCTAATCCACATAAAAGCTAATCCTCTCAAAGGTAAATCAACCAAACCAGCGTCGCAAATCAGCTTATTGAACTCTTCCATCAAACCTCTGTCTCGGTCATGCCCTCTAAAATCTTCTTCGCTTCTCACCAAGTTGAAGTCTCTAATAATGCATAATGACTCAAAACAATTTTCACATACCGTTTTGAGATCCCTAAGAAAAGCCAGCTTCTCCTCCTTCTCTTGAGGTCTGTAAGCTCCAAGCAAAGCAAACTTATGAGCCTGACCAACTGTTAGGATACAATCCAAGTACCACATTGTAAATACAATGGAAGGAACCCTTGTATATTAGAGTCCACCTAGCCCAATTAGTACGAGGCCTTTTGGGGAGGATACCCAAGAGTAAAACCGTGCGGGCTTGGCCCAAAGCGGTTGTACTAATTGAGCACCCTGGTGTTTGACAAGTGGTATCAGAGCCTGATTCAGTTCGGGGCGGTGGACGTCAGTTTGATGGGACCCTCATTCGGTGACCTCGGGATTTGAGATCTGCGTCTGGTTTGGTGGATCCAAGGGAGATCCACGTTTGGGATGTTTGGCGGATCAAAGAGAGTTCCGCGTCTGAAAAAAATCCTTGTACCGAGAAGCTCATCGATACAAGGTGTCTGGTGGATCAAGATAATCGTTGAGGTGAGTACACGAAGTTCGTGGTCCTTGTCTTGAGGGGAGGATAGTTAGGGTACAATCCAAGAACCACATCGTAAATACAATGGAAGAAACCCTTGTATATTAGAGTCCACCTAGCCCAATTAGTACGAGGCATTTTGGAGAGGACACACAAGAGTAAAACCATGCGAGCTTAGCCCAAAGCGGACAATATCATACTAATTGAGCACCTAGTGTTAGACACCAACCTTCTGAAGTTTTATCGCAATAGAGAAACGCCCAACCCAGCTATCAAGCATTCTATGCTCTCCATTTTCCCAGAAGATGGTAATTCCTCCTCTAGATTCGGTAGCATCCTTCGCAGCCCACTCTGAACTTCTCCTTCCACTAACCGAATTCACCCGGGATTGAGAACAAACATTTCATTTTGTTTCGACTAAGACCACAACTGCTGGTTGTCATCTCCTAATCAGTCTCTTAATTTTAGCTCGTTTATCACTGGATCCAAGACATCGAACGTTCCACGCTAGTACTGAACTCGATTGCATCATGATCAAATACCAGAGTTGTTGGCAGACCTTTCACCTGTTCTAGAACTGCTCTTCTTTGTCCTCGATATGCTAGTGTCAAACTCGTTCAATTGACTCGGCTTTCTTCTAGCTCGCGGTGGAACATCGGCAGGAAGTTGCTGTCCCAATCTATGCAATTCCATCTCTGCCTTCGACCTCGGTACTCTATTCTTCCTACACTTCGCCTCCCGAGCCAATTCAGAGATAAAACAAGCAGCTTCCTCCTTTGAATTGTTCAATTCCAAGCGAAATAAACTACCAAGCCTTATGTTGCAATCCACCAACTGATCAGAATATTGTTGAAGTCTCCAGTTAAAGCACTCTTCCAATGAAAACGGTTTGAAGGGAATGATGGCAAGTGGATTGGGTTCGGGAGAGATTGGGGTGAGGGGGGATACGGAAATGGTCTTGGGGCTACAGGGGGAACTGGATTCGAGTGGGGAGGGGGAAATCTGAGGGTGGGACAAGGGATGGGTCGGGGTAGCTTACAGAAGCGGGGGGAAGAGGGATTACAGGGGGAGAATTCAGGTGGGTTGGGTTCGGGAAAGTTGAAACATTTATTATCAATCCATACGGTTTATATCAATCGGTATGAAAATGTATCATGATGGTATGAATATATTAGAGTGTAGAATAGTTGCATACATGATAGTACAGAGATATTCATTGTCATTTAACACCTTTCATCAACGTAAACCAACAGTGATTAGGGATGGCAAATTATCCACCCATGGGTAATTATACTTAAACCTAAGTAGAACCATTGATAATGGGTCGGGTATGGGTGAAGTGCATATGGATTTGGGGTTTTATAAATGGGTTTGGGTAAGGTATGAATATTGCTTCCATAATCTAAATGGGTATGAGTTGGATATGGATATCGATTTACTTGAGGGTGTTTTAACTACACATGCAAAAATTGGACCTATTTGTAAAACTTGAAAAGTTTAGGTACCAAAATGTAAGACCAAAAAAATTTAGGTACCAAAACTTAATTTTCCATCCATATTTTGAGGACTTATATGCAAAAAAAATTTAGGTACTAAATATGCATATCTATTAAGTTTGGGTACCAAACTGTAATTTGTATTTGGGCATGGGTACAAATTACAAACCAAGGTTGTCAAACCGGTTTATGCCAGTGTGCCGGTTTAGCAAGATGGTTCAACCGGTGGCATATACTGATTTGTGCCGGTTCATGCCGGTCAATATTACAAATAAAATTGTAAACACTCATATTTAAACATGACATTTAACGTCAATACCTAAACATTTATACTTGAATCCAACAAATAACATCAATATTTAACTTTTATATTAATAAAATAAATAATAAAATAATTTTTATCAATTAAATTCACTAAAATAAGGTCATTTTACTTAGAGATTCATATATCGATCATGTCGGTTATACCGGTGGTTGAACCCGGTACAACCGGTGGCACGCCGGTCGGCGTGACAGCCATGGTACAAACCCAAATAAATTTGATATAAACCCAACTCAACCCAAAGTAAATGGGTATGGGTACAAACCCATCAAACTCTACCCATATCCATCTATTTGGATTTCATACCCAACCCAATTGGGTTGGATAGTAAGAAACCCATGGGTATGGGCAAAGTTGTCATCCCTACCAGTGACCACCATGTACCAGGATGACATAGGATGGTACTTTTTGTCCTAGAAATTATTTCCCAGAAACTTGTAGATCTAATAAATCACAACGAACTCGTTCATTCTATACAAAAAATTTCAAAAATTGAGTTAAAAACGAAGGTGGTACTAGGTGGTAAAAAATTATATGTGTGGTATGAAATTCTTTTTGCTCTAAATATTTTGAAAATGTATATCATTTTGAAGATTAAAACAAAATCGTCCAATCTATGTAAAATATTTTGAAATCCAAGTTAGAACGAAGAAGATAAAATCCGATTACGAAAAATAGGAAAAGAATTCATTAATTCTCATCCCTTAAATTTAATCCACTTAAATCTAAGGGTCCAAATCTGATTATACAAGTGTACATTAACCCTTACAGAGGTCGAAAAAATTTCGAATGAATGGGGATTCAAAGCCCAAAACTACCAAACCAAAACCCTCTATCTTATGACCATCTATGGTGGACAAAATATTATTTATTTTGCTATGCATACACTTTTACTTAAAATTATCATTCGTGAAAAATAAAATCTTGACACTGCAAGTCAAAACTCTTTCTTGTGCTGGGAAGTTGTAGCTAGTCACTACAGTCATCTCTAGTATCTCACAATACTATATGGGGATTATCCAACTTCTAATCAAGGTGATTAAGCAAATTGAGAATGACTACACTGACTTATTGTGGAACTCAGAGAAGGAAGGAAAGAAATCTATGACAACATGTAGCTAGACGAAAAAAGGAGGGAGGGTTGGGGTTTAAGGGCTTCAAAAGCTGGAATTCAGCCTGCCTTATCGGGCATTTGTAGGCAATATCATCAATTCATCAACCCTGTGGGCAGGTTAGGCAATATCAACTAACCTATACTTCGATTTGGGATATCCTCTGTTCAATTCCCTTTTCTTGGGCATGGAGAAAAATGTTAAAAGACATGCAACTTGCAAAGGGGCATCTCACTATCAAAGTTGTTGGTGTATATTGGGAGACTTCGTTGGAGTTAGCTATTGCACAATTCCGAGTCAACAATTCAGCTTGTGATCGTGGCAGGCTTATTTGGGTTACAACAGTAAGCGAATTATGGAGGGAGAGGTGCAGAAGGATATATGTTGGTGAATATCTTGCTGCAACTCAGCTACGAAAGAAGTTGCAGACCCTGCTTTCATTACTAAGAAATGGATACCCTCATATTGTCGTAATCATTTAAGAGGAAGAGATATATATTATAGCTTAAAGTTGTTCTTGATTTGACAAGATGCATAGTTTGTATTCTCTTGTAGATAGTGCCTAAAGGAGGTCTGTATTTGTGATGGATGTTGGTGCTATTCGGTTACCAGTTAGAATGGTTTCTCATATCCATTATTTCTTGATGAATAAACATGCTTATTCATCGAAAAATATAAAATCTTGTAGTTTCCTCCCTAAAACTTTAAATTTTCTCCTTCAATGCCGCCTAGTAGAGCAGCGATATGCCGAGGTCTTATCCCTTCTCCTCCATTTTTGGCCTTTAGGTTGTCGGACCGCTATCAACTAGGGCTGCAAACGAGCCGAGCTTGTGAAGCTCGTTGGGACACTTTTTCGTAATTTGTTGTTTGACTAGTTTTCCTAATATTTTTTAATTTAAATGGTCGAGTCTCTTTCATTCGGTGAGCTTGCTTCGGAGGCTCTGATACCAAAAATTTCATGCAATAATTTCTGCAAAAATGTCTAATTCATGTCAAGTCTCATTCTCTCATGTCTCATTCTTTCATTTTCTTCCATTTTTGTCATGAAGTGATATGCAATTTTATAAAAATTTTCATGATGTGATATCAAAATTTTAGATTCAACGTTTCCTATTCTGCTAGGTTTCATTTTTAAGGTTCATGAAATGATCCAAACCATTGTGGCCCAAAAATGTCCTTTTCAAAATTTTCATCCGTTCATTTTCTTTTATGAGTATTGGTGCTATTTTCAAAGTTATTTTGATGTACTTGGTTTTATCTATTTTCTAGTTTCTGTTTTATTTTGTTTAAACTAGTTATTATATCGGTAATTAATTCAGTTTTAGATACGGCTTCTTCCAAAGTTTCTGAATTTCCGATACACATTTGTTCTTCTACAATATCTGATACGAAATGCGATAATTCTAATGTAACTGTATTAATTTCGTTTACTGATGTAAGGTCTATTGCGTCTATTCCTTCTATCAATTTATTTATGTAATAAGTGTTAGGCATCTTTACAGTTTTTCACTCATTTCTATGATTAGTTCTTGTAACTTTTTTATTTCACTAGTATTATCATTTTGATGAAGTATAGTTATGTTTTTTTATTTCCTTATTTTCTTCTTTCTCCATTTCTTTCTGTTTGTCGGTTAGTCTCATGGAAGAACTTCTCTCGTCTATGCTTATTCTTGATGATCACAATTTGATTTTATTATTTTTAGAGGGGATTCTAATTGAATTAATGGTTTGAATAAGTCTTCTATGGTGATGGCTTCCTTATCTTTAAACGCTAAACTATGATGACTATTGGTCAGCGCATAGTTTATTTGGTATGTTACTGAAAAAGGTTTACTATTTTCTTTCATGAAATTTTTTCTTTTCAATTCATACTTTATAATAATGGAAGAGTCGAGATTCCCATCTGTTAAACTAATTCCTTGTTGTAGATTAATATCGAATTTGATTATTCCTACTCCTAGATTTCCTTTTCCTTTCGCAATAATACTTTCTTCTCTATTGATGAGTCGATCGTCTCTTATTTCTAGTTCTATAGGTGCACTTATCCCTGTTTTCATAGTGGATTTTAGAATGATTTGTATCGTGCTAATATGAATATAGGCTATTTTATTTCTTTCTTCCTGTTGTAACTTGGATAATTTTTTCCTAATTTGTTCTCTATTTATTATTTGGATTAAGAAATCTCCCTTAGTTTGTTCTATTGGTACTGCCGTTTCTCCTATCATTTTTCCGTATTTGATTATATTTTTTCTATCAAATAGTTTGGATAAAAAAGACTTGGTAATAAAATTTTGCGTTTCTGATAAAGTAAAATTAGTTTGTTCCTTAATTTTCTTGACATCTAATATTCCATCTAAAATAATTTTCTTCTTCATTTTTACTTAAATAATCAAAGTAACTGTTGCTGCTACTAGGGTTATTCGACATACCTGATTGCTGCTTAGGTTGGTTGATGCTGCTTCTTGCTATTGAACGTTTCCATGATGGTGTAGTACAAGAGAGGCTGATAGCTGATGATCGTTGAAATGGTGTTGGAGAATTCCTTGTGGTGTTTAATGGTTGGTGTAAGGTTTTTTTATGAATGGGTGATAGTGGATACGAACATCTCCAGAGTATTACCTCAAACGTTCTGTGCCGAAGCACCAAGACTTCACTTAGTCTTTTTGAGAGAGAAATCTCAAACTTTTATTCTGCTCTGCCCCCTTATGAGGTTTTAGGTTACATATTTATAGTGCAGGACTTAGCCTGCTTACATATGCTATTACATCATTCTCCACTAAAACAAACAAACAAAGACACAAAGTAAAGTGAACAAAGCAAACACGTTCCTACATTATTGATCAGAAAGGGAGAAATAAATGATCAAATTTGATGTTGACCTTTCTTTTGTTGATGAGTCTTTCTTGTTTTCTTCTTCCAAGTGCATTATCATCATTTTGTCGTTTAGTGGGTGTAATAATCTGGTAGATGAGTTGTCCACTCGTTAGTGGACTTCTTCTCCATTAACTCCATTATTGCTGCTAGTGGAGGTGGTCATGTCTGCTGCACAATGGGTACATATGTGATCCTCGTGTAACTGCAATAATTCACAAAGTTGCTGTTTTTGTTCCGACGTTAGTGGGGCTAACGTCCCTTCTAGATTAATGAAGTCCTTGGCTTGATCTGTAATAAAACCCCATTCTTCTGCTGTAATCTGGTTTTTTGAATTGCTGATGATGATCTTGTTGGTACTGGTATAATTGACCTTAATATTGTCCGTTGGGTTAAGATAATATAAGGCCTGACTTACTGCATATAGTGATCTTACTTGGTAGTCTTCTGGTATCTTAGTTCCTTCCAATTCATCTCTTGTTGGATAATTACCATTAGATACTCCCATCTTGATGATTGCTTTTGATGGAACGATCAGTTCTTCTTTGTTGAATACTGGGTAACTGGCTGTATACCGTAGATAAATTTCTCTTCCTTTGGAGAAAGAGTCTGAATACCTTTTTACCACTGTTTTGAATTTTGTTGGAAATTCGTCGAAGATCTCGGTCTTCTGGGTATATATGGTATCGATCAATCCATATTGATGAAGAGCAAATAGTGTTGTTGGTGCGATTTTGTCTGTGATAATGACTGCTCTTGGTCCTCCCTTGAATGTTGGGTAAAATCCCATGGTGGTGTGAATTTCTTTATAATTGAGAAGATCTTCCCAGCATTGTTGAAATTTTTGAAGTGTAGGTCTGTTAGCTTCTTCTTTTTGCCTTGTAGTTGGAATGTCCTTGATGCTGATGCTTGGAATCTTCATTACTAATCTTTTTTGTGAAGTGGTCGGCTCAGCTTTTTGTTTCATGGCCATTTCTCTGTATGATTCCTTTAATACCTGTTCAGTTCCCTTCAAAGACTTCTCTGCTTCTTCTTTGGTTGAGAATGATTGGTGTTTGATATTGTGTCCCGTAACATGATGAGATACTATTGCCCAGTTGTTGTAGAGTGCCCGAAATGGTCCATCGTAAATGACGTACCATTTTCCTTTCTTTGATTTTCTTTCGTCTTCTTCATACTTCTCATCTTCTTCTACCATGTCTGACCATTTTGTTGATGACGATGGTATATCCCTTTTTGGTTGTGTACTTTTATCTGTAACTGATGACTGAATAGTGTTTTTGATTTGTGATTGCAGAATAGTTGTCATATTAGGTAAGGTTCAATAATTGTGAGTTTTCCAGGGTTTTTATGATTCTTTAAAAATTCTTTCATATCTTCAATAGTAAGATATCTCGTGTTATCTAATTTTAATATTATTTCCTGTAGTGTTGTTATTATTTCTTTAAGATTTTCTTCTGGTAGTATTTCATTGGAACTTTCAATAATTTTCTCTTTGCCTTTTATTTGTAGTATGATATTATTTATTAGATTTTTTGCTATTTCTAGGTCATTATATAATTCCTTTTGTTTTCCATTGATTTGAATTTCTAACATTGTTCTTAAATGTTTATTATTTTCTTCAAGCGATTGTATTATGATTCCTTGATAGTCATCTAACTGTTTTCCTAGTCTTTCGATTTTTAGAGATATGTTTTCTGTAGCCATTACTACTTATGACATAATTAAAAGTGTTGAGTTCCATTTTGTAATTGTCCTTCTTAGTATTGTACAATTTCTTTTTGGTACCTTAGTACTACTAAGGTACCAAAAAGAAATTGTACAATACTAAGAAGGACAATTACAAAATGGAACTCAACAGTACTAAGGTACCAACAAGAAATTGTACAATACTAAGAAGGACAATTACAAAATGGAACTCAACACTTTTAATTATGTCATAAGTAGTAATGGCTACAGAAAACATATCTCTAAAAATCGAAAGACTAGGAAAACAGTTAGATGACTATCAAGGAATCATAATACAATCGCTTGAAGAAAATAATAAACATTTAAGAACAATGTTAGAATTTCAAATCAATGGAAAACAAAAGGAATTATATAATGACCTAGAAATAGCAAAAAATCTAATAAATAATATCATACTACAAATAAAAGGCAAAGAGAAAATTATTGAAAGTTCCAATGAAATACTACCAGAAGAAAATCTTAAAGAAATAATAATAACACTACAGGAAATAATATTAAAATTAGATAACACGAGATATCTTACTATTGAAGATATGAAAGAATTTTTAAAGAATCATAAAAACCCTGGAAAACTCACAATTATTGAACCTTACCTAATATGACACTATTGATGAGAACATAAATAAATTAAATGATTTACTAATGGCCTTAAATATTGAATCAGATAACGAAGATCACATTGAAAATGATAAAGTAGTACTAGACTACAGTAGTGATGAAAATCCATATACAAATTATATGAAAACAGAAAATGACCCAGGAGAAACATCAAACCCAACTAGATCAAACAAAAGACGATTTAATGATTATAATGACGGTCAAATGAATTTCGACGAATATCTTTATAAAAATCATTTTGCTCCTCGTAGGGGGGAGAATGGACGAAAATTCCTCACTCATACATTCCTAAATACTCTACAACAAGTTATAATAGTTCAGATATTCTAGATTTAGACTGTAGTACTAATCCATTAAAAGAATTAGAAGACTGAAAAAATCGAACAGGATTATTAATTCAAACCAACGAGGAATTAAGAAAACTTCAACCTAGTGAAATATTTAATTTCTTAATATACAAAACCACTGGAGCAGTTTATCATTATTTAAGTGCAATGGATATTCCTGCAAAAACAACCCTGTATGGGGATGACGCTATAAAAACTTTTGAAAAGATATTGAATGCTTTATGTCGCAACCGTCCCTCCGGGGGGTCCGATTGTCGTCGCGTCGGCTATTTTGGGAGTCGCCATCGATCTTTACTTGGAGTGGATCGAACACTCATCGGTCGGCTCTAACCTTAGGGTCAGAACCGAGATATGGTCTGCGGTTAAGAAATTTGGGTTCGGGAGTACGGTTACGTGTGGGGAAGTGAAATCACACCCCACAACGCCCTAAATCGGTACTACTTAAGTCGATAAGTTTTTATGCGAGTTGGGTGTATTTTAGTAATAATTTTGTAATCTTAGGGTCCCACTGGACCATTTAATGATTTTATCGTATTAGTTTATTGTTAGGTATTTTAGATATTTTTAGGGCCTTACCAGACCCCTAAAGAAATTAAATCGTATTAATTTTAATTTAATTATACGTCCACTGACGTAAAATTAAAAGATGGAATTAATTGGTTAGTTGGACTCGAACCTTATCGGTTGCCTACGTACCCGTTAGACGGGATCAAAGTCCACGTAGTTCGTTCGGACTTTGATAATTTAATTGTAACTTTTACCGCGTTCCACTGAACGTAATTCTCGTAATAAAATTTATTGTTAGTAAAATTTAAGTTGGTATTATGAAATTATAAAAAGATAATATATTAATTTCAGTTATTAAGAGGGGTTTTGATGTATTAGAAAAGAAACGAGATAAACTTAATCCACAATTTTACATTTCGTATTAAGGATTTTAAATAATAAAATTGTACGGGATGATAATATTAATGCATGAGGGCCAGCAGCTGAACTGGTCAAACCTCTAATCTCCTCCAACCCCGAGACCGCGGGTTCGAAACACTCTGACTGCATTTTTTGATTTTTTTTTAGTTTTAGTGTGGAGATGTGGGAAGGGTGCTTTTGGTAATTACTCAAAAACGCGGTGGCAGGGGTATGTAATTGCAACGAAACCCTAGGGGTAAGCTAGTCTTTTTCGGTTGGGTATAAATTTATCTCTTAAATCGAAATGGAAACCCTAATTTAATCAAACCTAGTTCAGCCGCCCCTCAAACCCTCAATCCTCTCGTCTCTCGTCTCTCTCTTTCTCATCTCCAGAAAAAACGATCGACGAAAACCTCTCTTCCTAGTTTTCCCCCAATATCATTCTCTCTTCTTCCTTCTTCTTTCAGAAAATAAAACCCAAGAAGGGATTGAGAAAACCAGACATATCCAAACCCCAAATCTCACGTCTCTTTGCGTCATCGACGAGACTAGGAGACGGAGCGAACCCTCTTTAACCACGCGTCGGCGACGAGGATGGCTACACCCGACGCCGGCGATGATGATGACGGCGGAGAAGAAGAAAGTCGAAGGTAGATTTTATTCTCGGGTTGCATGTTGATTTTTAGGGTGTTTTCAGTTGGATTTAAGGTTCTGATTTTGTTTGTTGTTTTTTTTTTTGTGGCTTTTGCTTTCGGACGAGGAGGAAAAGGGGACGGGCATCGGGTCTCGCCGCCGACAGCAGCAATAGGCGGGATGCCGCCGCCGTTCACTCAACGTGGCCGGAAGACTCTCGATCAGAAGTAAATCGTGACATGCATGGTCTTGTTTGTTTATTTTTTTATTTTTTATTTCGGACTCTTCTAATTTTTTATTTTTGTTTTGTTTTTTTGATTTGGATCCTCGCCGAGAGAAAGCGACGGTCGCCGGCGGCGACCTGCACCCGACTGACGGCGAGGGTTTGGTTGTGGGTAGGTTATTTGTTTTATTTTTTGCTATTCTCGTTTTTTATTTACTGTCGTTATTTGGGGTTCTGATTCTTGATTTCTTTGATTTTTTTGCAGATCTAATACCTAGAGTTTTAGGTGAGGTCTCCTAACTCTGATTAGTTTAACTAGGAAGGTTGAACTGAAAAAAAAATTCCTTTGTAGATCCGAGTTTATGGAAGGCGATCTTGGCGTTTTATGCTTTAATGAATGATCTTTTATTGCTTGCTAATCTGGATTTGGTTTTGGCAAATCCTGGGTTTTGGATCTGATAGGTCAAAGTTTAAAAATTAGACTAGTTTTTTTGACAAAAACTATACCTGTGTGCTTTTGATGATATATGCGATTTTGGTTACATTAAGTTTAAAGCTTGAAACTTGAATATCTTTCTCTCCTAATCTAAGTAGTAAAAGAAATTAATTTTTATGTAAAGAAAATGGTAACAGCCACCCTTGACTCTACATCGCTGCTACTGCTGTGCGATTTAGTCAGATTAAAGTTCTGGGTGATTTAAAAGAATTGGCAAGAGTTCTCGAAAATTTTGGGTTTATGATGTTATTATGAATTGTACTTTATCTCCTATTTCTATTCGGCTATGGTTGATTTATGGGTTTGAAATCTGTAGTTTTAGTGTGTTAATGATGTTTTTGAGTATACTAAATGAAACAAAGCAAGTAACATGAGACAAAGAAAGTAAACAAATATAGCTTCACTCGTGATATGCTTAAATGATAAGAACCAAAAGACATTTAAATTGAAATACTGAAGTAAATGACAAAGGCTGCAATGGATATGGAAATAAACATGATGAACTTATAAAGAGAGCAACTAAATCTGTTTCGTTTATTTATTTTCCTGTTATGATGGGATTAGCCTTCTTGTAATTTGCTTGAAGTCCATTAGAGCTTGATTTATTTTGGAGTTTACAGGTCAAAGTTGTAATTTGCTTGAGGTTGATTGAGTTTTGGTTTTGGAAAGAACTTAATAAGACGGTTTAAGATGATGAATGATAAAGATGATGGTTGGATTTTAGTTTGCTACCAACCTTTACACTTGTTGTTTTATGATGTTTCTGAACCTCCCTTGTTGTCTCCTTCTTCGTGTTTTTGCTGTGGTGGCAGTGGTAGGGTGCTGGTGCTAGGGATCTTTGTAGCTTCTTTTGTCTTTTGTCTTCTGTTTGTGTATGTTTTGAGTAGGAGATGGACAAAGAAAAGTGGGAGGAGGAAGGCAAGAGTATGGGGATTTTTTTTATGTTGTCTTCTGCCTGCTGTGTCTTTGGGTCAGAAAGGAGAAAAGTGGGAGGAATTTTGTTGCTGTCTAGAGAAAGGGAAGAGGGAAGCCTCTGTTTTCTCGATGGGAATGAAGAGGACGGAGGAGGAGAGGAAGCTCCAGAATCCCCCCTCTTGCAAGAGCCGAAGGTTCATTTTATAGAAAACTGGCTTGGGGAACAAGTATGCTACAGTGTCGGTTGTGGTTTTGGGTTGGACCGGTCTGACTTGGTCAGAGCCGAGTTTGGTTTGACTTAAGAGTTGGCTTGGTTCACAAATGATTGGGCTTTTGACTTTGGTTGGCTGTTGACATTTTGGTTGGCTTTTGACTTGGGCCCAATTTCCCTTTCTTACACTCGTGACTACTAATGCAATCGGTTGTAATCTAAAATTTTTTACTAATTGTAATTTATGTTGATGGCAATTGCAAAATGTAATTCTGACTTATGTTCGATGTAATTATAATTTATTTTAGTAAGATGATTCATTCCTTTAATTTTAATGTTCCTCCCAATGTCGAAGTCCAAACTCTCAAGAACTTAGCGTTTAAATTCAACAACCAAACTTGGGTAGTTAAAGTTAGCTATTGCTAACTTCGTGGTCCCAAATTATGACCAATGCTATTGCTTAATCTTAAAGACTTAACATTTAAACCACCTAAATTCACGGTAACAAATTTTAATCGATGATGTGTTGCCCGGACAAAATGGGGTGTCTACACTTTAACTTATGAATTTCTAGGAAGATATCCAAGAGAAAAAGAAACTAATGCAACTCTGAGTAATCAGGCTATTTGGCATCTAACTAACTTAAGAATTTGCAATATGTGTTATTTAGAATCATTTATTTGCGAATTTAAAATACATTATTATCAGGTTATTCCGTCAGTAAGAAAAGACTTAGATAAATTATTCTTTTCTAAACTTCCCTTAATAGTAGCACAAAAAGTAGAAACTGCTTTTAATGAAGCAGTTCAAAAGGAAGAAGTACCAGATACATTAGGAGGACGAATTCTAACATTACAGGAATGGCATAAACGAGCCTGTAATAAAGAAAAACTAAAAAAGGAAGCTAAAATGGACCTCTGCTGTGAGGCCTCCACCAATAAAATCGGAAAATACGGATGTAATGATGAACGACCAAAAATAAAGAAAAAACGGAGATATGAAAAATACAAAAAATGGCGAAAGATACCCTATAAGGAATATAGAAAAAATAGATATAGAACCCCTAATAAGTATTTTAGAAACAGAAAACAGTTTAAACAGAAAACTAGTCAGAAAGAATACTGTCCTAAGGGTAAAACTAATTGCAGATGCTGGCTCTGCAACGAAGAAGGACATTATGCTAATAAATGCCCAAAGAAAAACACAAATAATAAGAAGCAGGAAGTTCTAAGGATAGCATATGATTGTGGATTCGAACCCATAGAAGAAACAGATTTTGAACTATCAGACATAGACATTATTGAATATCTTACAGATTTAGAAATATTTTCAGATGAGTCAGAAGAAGATTCTATCTAAAAATAACCCAAACGCGACATTCATAAAAGTTACTATTGAAAATAAGAATCTTCTGGCATACATAGACACAGGAGCAACACTGTGTTTTGCTAAAAAATCAACCATTAGAGGTTGGGATAAACTAGATAAACCATTAAAAATTATCGTTGCAGATAAATCTATCCATGAAATCTGGTATGTAAAACATTACGTACCTATCATTATAGAACAATATGTATTTACTGCCAAAACAATATATCTTCATGATTCAGGATTAGACATAATAATAGGAAATAACTTTCTTAAACTATATCAACCATTTACTCAAAGAATTAAGAGTATAAGTCTAAAAGCTCCAAAAATGAAAAATCAAGAGTCAAAAATCGTTACCACCAAGATAATAACAAAAGACGAAGTATTAAGAATTGTTTTACAAAAAATAAAAAATAAGCTTGAATATATCCAAGTAGCCTACGGAATAGTTGAAGAAAAACTAGAGGAAGTTTGCAGTGAACACCCTCTAGATAATATAAAAAATACAAATTCAGAATTAATAGAAATTAAATTAAAAGATCCAAAAATCGAAGTAAATGTTCCTAATAAAATATAATATACTCAAAGAGATGTAGAAGAATTTCTAGTAGAATGTGGAGATTTACTCAGTAAAAATATTATTCGAGAAAGTAAAAGTCCGCATAGTGCGCTGGCATTCTATGTAGAAAATAATAATGAAATTAAAAGGGGAAAAAGATGTATGGTAATCAATTACAAAAAACTCAATGAACACACTATAGGAGACAGTTATAAATTACCAAGAAAAGATTATATTCTGGAACGATTGAAAGGACAAACTTGGTTCAGTAGCCTAGACGCAAAATCAGGATATTGGCAATTAAGACTTCATGAAAATGCAAAACCCTTAACAGCTTTTTCATGTCCACCACAAAAACATTATGAATGGAATGTATTACCATTTGGAATTAAGCAAGCCCCAGGAATTTATCAAAGATTTATGGATAAAAATCTAGAAGGATTGGAAGACTTTTGTTTAGCATACATTGATGATATTATTATCTTTTCAAATAAAGATAGAATAGATCATGAAGAAAAACTAATAAAAGTTCTAGAAAGACTAAAAGAAAGAGGACTGATAATTTCAAAAAATAAATCTAAATTGTTAGTCAATGAAATTGAGTATTTGGGAATGAAAATAAATAGTACAGGAGAAATAGAACTAACTACTAATGTTAAGGAAAAATTAGATAAATTTCCAGATAAAATGGAAAATAGAAAACAAATACAACGATTTCTAGGAAGTCTAAATTATATCAGTGAACAAGGATTTCTAAAAAATCTAGCAAAAGAGAGAAAATATCTTCAGCAAAAAATATCAGATAAAATACCTTGGAAATGGGATGATAAAGACACTGAGGTGATAAGATTCATGAAGGCTAGTTGTGATCATTTACCAAAATTATATAACCCATGCGATCGAGATTTTCTTATTGTTGAGACAGATGCATCAAGGGATACATGGGCAGGTTGCATGCTTGCAATACCAGAAGGCAAAAAATTACTATCACTTGATCACTATGGCAATATAATCAGCAATGAATCGAATGATTCACCCTATATCAGTTATGAATCGAACGATTCACCACTATCTCGATGCAATAATGAATCGAATGATTCAAAACAATATGACTATACAATACCATTCAATACAGAAAAATATACAAAGAAGTTATGCAAATATATATCTGGAACATTCTCTTCCACTGAGAGAAACTACCCAATACATGAGCTAGAGACACTAGCCTGTCTCAGAACACTGAAAAAATGGAAGCTAGAATTACTCACCAGTCGATTCGAATTACGAACCGACTCTAAATATGTTACAGGATTTTGGAGATACAAACTGGATGCAGACTTCAATAAAGGAAGACTCATTCGCTGGCAGCAACAACTCCATTATTATCGCCCATATCTCAAGTATATCAAGTCAACAGCAAATCCACTAGCAGACACGCTTACACGCGAATGGAAGGAATAATCAAGCAAATGCAGAACCAGCAACAGCAGAAGGAGGAACAAATTCGTGCCCTCGAAGTCCAACTTTCTCAGAGGCGGGGGGAATTGGAGCAAATAAAAACTACCATCACTATTCTGCAATCACAAATCAAAAACACTATTCAGTCATCAGTTACAGATAAAAGTACACAACCAAAAAGGGATATACCATCGTCATCAACAAAATGGTCAGACATGGTAGAAGAAGATGAGAAGTATGAAGAAGACGAAAGAAAATCAAAGAAAGGAAAATGGTACGTCATTTACGATGGACCATTTCGAGGACTCTACAACAACTGGGCAATAGTATCTCATCATGTTACGGGACACAATATCAAACACCAATCATTCTCAACCAAAGAAGAAGCAGAGAAGTCTTTGAAGGGAACTGAACAGGTATTAAAGGAATCATACAGAGAAATGGCCATGAAACAAAAAGCTGAGCCGACCACTTCACAAAAAAAGATTAGTAATGAAGATTCCAAGCATCAGCATCAAGGACATTCCAACTACAAGGCAAAAAGAAGAAGCTAACAGACCTACACTTCAAAAATTTCAACAATGCTGGGAAGATCTTCTCAATTATAAAGAAATTCACACCACCATGGGATTTTACCCAACATTCAAGAGAGGACCAAGAGCAGTCATTATCACAGACAAAATCGCACCAACAACACTATTTGCTCTTCATCAATATGGATTGATCGATACCATATATACCCAGAAGACCCAGATCTTCGACGAATTTCCAACAAAATTCAAAATAGTGGTAAAAAGGTATTCAGACTCTTTCGCCAAAGGAAGAGAAATTTATCTACGGTATACAGCCAGCCAGTTACCCAGTATTCAACAAAGAAGAACTGATCGTTCCATCAAAAGCAATCATCAAGATGGGAGTATCTAATGATAATTATCCAACAAGAGATGAATTGGAAGGAACTAAGATACCAGAAGACTACCAAGTCAGATCACTATATGCAGTAAGTCAGGCCTTATATTATCTTAACCCAACGGACAATATTAAGGTCAATTATACCAGTACCAACAAGATCATCATCAGCAATTCAAAAAACCAGATTACAGCAGAAGAATGGGGTTTTATTACAGATCAAGCCAAGGACTTCATTAATCTAGAAGGGACGTTAGCCCCACTAACGTCGGAACAAAAACAACAACTTTGTGAATTATTGCAGTTACACGAGGATCACATATGTACCCATTGTGCAGCAGACATGACCACCTCCACTAGCAGCAATAATGGAGTTAATGGAGAAGAAGTCCACTAACGAGTGGACAACTCATCTACCAGATTATTACACCCACTAAACGACAAAATGATGATAATGCACTTGGAAGAAGAAAACAAGAAAGACTCATCAACAAAAGAAAGGTCAACATCAAATTTGATCATTTATTTCTCCCTTTCTGATCAATAATGTAGGAACGTGTTTGCTTTGTTCACTTTACTTTGTGTCTTTGTTTGTTTGTTTTAGTGGAGAATGATGTAATAGCATATGTAAGCAGGCTAAGTCCTGCACTATAAATATGTAACCTAAAACCTCATAAGGGGGCAGAGCAGAATAAAAGTTTGAGATTTCTCTCTCAAAAAGACTAAGTGAAGTCTTGGTGCTTCGGCACAGAACGTTGAGGTAATACTCTGGAGACGTTCGTATCCACTATCGCCCATTCATAAAAAACCTTACACCAACCATTAAACACCACAAGGAATTCTCCAACACCATTTCAACGATCATCAGCTATCAGCCTCTCTTGTACTACACCATCATGGAAACGTTCAATAGCAAGAAGCAGCATCAACCAACCTAAGCAGCAATTAGGTACGTCGAATAACCCTAGTAGCAGCAACAGTTACTTTGATTATTTAAGTAAAAATGAAGAAGAAAATTATTTTCTAGATGGAATATTAGATGTCAAGAAAATTAAGGAACAAACTAATTTTACTTTATCAGAAACGCAAAATTTTATTACCAAGTCTTTTTTATCCAAACTATTTGATAGAAAAAATATAATCAAATACGGAAAAATGATAGGAGAAACGGCAGTACCAATAGAACAAACTAAGGGAGATTTCTTAATCCAAATAATAAATAGAGAACAAATTAGGAAAAAATTATCCAAGTTACAACAGGAAGAAAGAAATAAAATAGCCTATATTCATATTAGCACGATACAAATCATTCTAAAATCCACTATGAAAACAGGGATAAGTGCACCTATAGAACTAGAAATAAGAGACGATCGACTCATCAATAGAGAAGAAAGTATTATTGCGAAAGGAAAAGGAAATCTAGGAGTAGGAATAATCAAATTCGATATTAATCTACAACAAGGAATTAGTTTAACAGATGGGAATCTCGACTCTTCCATTATTATAAAGTATGAATTGAAAAGAAAAAATTTCATGAAAGAAAATAGTAAACCTTTTTCAGTAACATACCAAATAAACTATGCGCTGACCAATAGTCATCATAGTTTAGCGTTTAAAGATAAGGAAGCCATCACCATAGAAGACTTATTCAAACCATTAATTCAATTAGAATCCCCTCTAAAAATAATAAAATCAAATTGTGATCATCAAGAATAAGCATAGACGAGAGAAGTTCTTCCATGAGACTAACCGACAAACAGAAAGAAATGGAGAAAGAAGAAAATAAGGAAATAAAAATCATAACTATACTTCATCAAAATGATAATACTAGTGAAATAAAAAAGTTACAAGAACTAATCATATAAATGAGTGAAAAACTGTAAAGATGCCTAACACTTATTACATAAATAAATTGATAAAAGGAATAGACGCAATAGACCTTACATCAGTAAACGAAATTAATACAGTTACATTAGAATTATTGCATTTCGTATCAGATATTGTAGAAGAACAAATGTGTATCGGAAATTCAGAAACTTTGGAAGAAGCCGTATCTAAAACTGAATTAATTACCGATATAATAACTAGTTTAAACAAAATAAAACAGAAACTAGAAAATAGATAAAACCAAGTACATCAAAATAACTTTGAAAATAGCACCAATACTCATAAAAGAAAATGAACGGATGAAAATTTTGAAAAGGACATTTTTGGGCCACAATGGTTTGGATCATTTCATGAACCTTAAAAATGAAACCTAGCAGAATAGGAAACGTTGAATCTAAAATTTTGATATCACATCATGAAAATTTTTATAAAATTGCATATCACTTCATGACAAAAATGGAAGAAAATGAAAGAATGAGACATGAGAGAATGAGACTTGACATGAATGAGACATTACATGAATGAGACATTTTTGCAGAAATTATTGCATGAAATTTTTGGTATCAGAGCCTCCAAAGCAAGCTCACCGAATGAAAGAGACTCAACCATTTAAATTAAAAAATATTAGGACAACTAGTCAAACAACAAATTACGAAAAAGTGTCCCAACGAGCTTCACAAGCTCGGCTCGTTTGCAGCCCTACTATCAACAACCGCTCACCTCCCATAGTATTCGCACATCGGTTCTCCAAACTACTCCATCTTCAACTTCAACTCTTTCTTTTTCTTTCGCGAGCAAGGTAGCAATAGTATAGAAACTGCTTCATCGGTGTGTTTCACATTTATGTAGGTTAGGGTGATAATATCCAATTATTATCATGGTGCTAACACTAGCTTCATATAGGAACATTTCATTTCAATAACTTTTTTATTCCAAAGTGTTGACCATAATTGATGCAGTTTTGTAAATGGAGGGGCACACTTGTCATTATTAAAATTATAGGAGGAACACGCACGTAGCACTGCTCATTTATTTTGCCTCCCTTGACTCATCTCAAGTATCATGAAGCATAACACAAAGCACAAACCAGAAACACAACAAACAACAACGCAAATAACATAAAGCATAAAAAAAAAGCTTATAATCCTACCAGAACCTCACTACACCACAAAATTTTTAAAACATACAAGGAATTCAAAGCAGATCACAAGTTTCCTGAAGCATACCAGAAACCTCATAAAGCATACCACAAGTTTGCTAAAAAGATATAAAAAACCTTATAAAGCAGAACACAAGTTCACTAAAACACATTAGAAACCTCATAAAGTATACCAAAATTCCCTAAAGTAGATCATAAGTCCCGTGAAGCATATTAGAACCCTCATAAAGCAGACCACACGTTCCATGAAGCATATTAGAAACCTCATAAAGCATACCGCAAGTTTCATATAGCATGGACGAATATGTGCAACCACATCGTAACTCTCATGAAGCAAACTAGAAGGCGAGAAACCATCCAAAACTTCACGTAGCAAACCAAAAATGTTTGCATGTACCCCTAACAGTAGCCCTTATTAACTATAATTGTAAATAGACTAACTTTTTATTGAAAAGTGAGTAGAAAAGATAAAAACAGTCTTTGTACCGAATGACTCCAGTAGCATAGTATACTCCAGGTGATTTGGTCGTTAGATGTATTTCGATGAGTTCCGACCAATCTCAACGATCAATTATTGTTTTCTATTAAATTGAACTTCGGATTTGGGTTTAGAGAACCGGGGTATAGTATCATACGCTAAACATGGTTTAATTCATGGTCTAGATAGAGATATCTCACTAGCAATACCTGAAGTATAGTGTACTCCAAGGTTTAGATAGAGATATCTCACTAGCAGTACCTGAAATATAGTGTACACCAGTCTAACCCATATAAATATATATTCCTATGCTCCATGATCATAGTATGCTCCAAATAAACTGGCCGTTAGATTTACATCGATGAGGTCCGACCAATCTCAACGGTCAACTCTTTACTTTCTCTATAAATTGAACTTCGAGTTTAAGATTAAAAAATCGGGACCTGGGGTTTATCTATTACAGGTTAGGGTATAGTATCCAAACATAATTTAATTCATCGTCTAGATAAATATATGTCACTATATGTATATGGACTATAGTATGCTACAGGAGCCCATGGAGTTTTCATCTATCAATCTATTTACTTGCTTCTATGGAGATATCATTTTCATTCATAAAATAAAAATATATCAAGAATGATTTTTCAGATGCAACAATGACATAGTGCACAAAGTTTATGTGCTTGTTTGGATAATGGATGCGTTGTAGAAATGCTTTCATAATATTTCCGAATCTTGAGCATTGTGTTCAATTCTTTATTTCATTTAGCTGAATTTTCTATTATATAGTTGAATTTTTTTTATTATAAACTTATAGTTGATTTGTTGTGTTACCAACCTTGATCAATTTTCTAGCTCTGCCGAAATAGAGTGGAGATTCCAGTTGAAAAGTCAAAAGAATGCCGCCCAGTACTACGACAATAGCAAACAGTAGGATTGCGCTGACAAATCCCGTTGGCCAGAGGAGGTGGTTCGGTGACCGACTCCCGGTAATACGTATCGTGTCGCGTCCTTCCCATTTGTCCACTCTTGATTAGGGCTGCAAATGAACCGAGTCGAGTCGAGTTTTACCCCAGCTTGAGCTCGGCTCGTTAATAAACGAGTCGAGTTCGAGCTTAGCTCGTTTATTAACGAGCTGAGTCGAGTCGAGCTCGAGCTAGCTTGTTTATTAAAATCTTGACTTTTATTTGGTACTTCATTTTGTATATCATGATACATATGATTTATTTTGTTAGCTAATCTCATATTATACTTTGTTGGTATCATATATCATTTAGTTAATAAATCTTAACTACTTCAAATCATGTTATTTCATAGTATCGAAGCAATCTATGATGCATAATTTCTTTTTAAAGTAGAAAATAAGATATATTTGATCACATACTCAACATGTTAAACTTTATATATGGTGAGATATATAATTTAACAACCATATGAATTAAAATCATAAGATATAGATTGATTCGTCCATAAGTTTGTAATAGAGTTGGCTCTCTAGCCACATGTTAAGACATATCATGAGCTCTAAACGAGTCAGCTCACGAGTTTAGCTCAACAAGCCACCGAGTCGAGCTAGCTCGCGAGCTTCACGAGCTGAACAAAGGTTAACTCGTGTTCGGCTCGTTAATAAACGAGCCGAGTTTCGAACGAGCTTTTCTTGAGTTGAACGTCAAGCCGCTCGCGAGCAGCTCGGCTCATTTGGAGCCCTGCTCTTGATGTATATATTATATTCTAGTGTGCTGCACCAACAAGGCTGCATCCAAATTCCACCAATCGCTATCAGGCCACCGGCCCACCAGCTTATGTCGTGTCGTGACTCGTGATTCATGAATACACTTTAAAGATTCACGTAAATAGTGTTCGCAACGGGTCCTCTAGACCTCTATAAATTGATGTTGGTTAATACATCTAGCAAAAGACTTTATTTTGTGCTAAATGAGATCACTTCAAAGCGGGACCAGATCAGGTCAGTATCTTTACTATCAGTAACTGTCAGTAATCCAATTATCCGTCCCCACATGTCAGCCTCTTCCTTTTATTTAAATTCAACACGGAGGGGCACTAAGGTAAATTGCACCCTCTATTTAATGATGACGGTGACGCTGATCCCACTTCCCCACCCCACACTGGTTGTATGGTTCCCCTCTCTCTCACTCTTTGTTTTATTTTATTATTAAAAAATAAATTATTTCTTCTCTCTCCCATCTACAACAAAAATGAATCTAATCATCCTGACTATCTCTAAACTAATTCCAGCTCAAATTGAATGATGATTTTTTCGTTCAATAATACAGTGTCAAAGACACTAATTACAAGTATAAATATGATTATCACTTTCTACTATCATGGTAAAACATGGTAAAATATGTTGAAGAAAATTACAATTCTAACTACCATACAATACCACATGGTAAAACGTGGTAAAACATGGTAAAATATGTTGAAGGAATTTAAAAATCTAACTACCATACGATACCACATGGTATAACGTGGTAAAACATGCTACAGAAATTTACAAATCTAATTATCATACCATACCATATGGTATAACATGCTAAAATAAAATTACAAATCAAACTACCACCACATGGAATAACTTGGTAAACGACGCTACAGAAAATTATAAATCTAACTAGCATACAATACCACCATAGTAGAACATGGTAAATCAAATGACCACATATTAATTATAATTACCATATAATACCACATGGTATGAGAAGGTAAAACCATGTAAATCTAATTACAACCCTCTACGACCATAGTAAAAACATGATATTCATAAAAATACATTTCGTTACCACACATTACCATATGGTATAGACACATTATCATATAGTATAGTGTGGTAATCTCAATATATATATACAATTACGACTTTCTTCACTTTCTCTCCCTTCATTGTCTTCTAACTCTTCTTTCTCGGAAGTGGTGTCGATTACCACCCACTACCACCATGATAAAACTCGTGACTATAAAAATATATTTAGTTAGCACACATTACCATATGGTATAATGTGGTAATATCAATATATATTCTCAAAAAGGGAAAACAGAAGGAGGAAGAGAAAAAAAAACTCGTCTTCTGTCTCCTCTCATTTACTCCTCCGCAATCAAGAACACCAAATGCAAAAAGAAAGAAAAAGAGGAAGAAGATTGGAATTAATTCACAAACAAATACTAAAACACAAAAGATGCAAACTCGACTCACCTAGATCTGTCCCCTCTTTGACAATATGGAGTGTCATCGATTTTGAGTCGATTTTGAGAGAAGAAGGATTTGGAGCGTCACCGGATTTGAGGTGGGAGACTGCAATTTCTTCGTCTATTGTTGGAGAAAAAAATGAAGAACAAGAGAAGAAAGGAGATCTAGATCTGGAAAAATGAGTTTGGAAGAGAGAAAGGAAGAGAGAAGTCTGTTTTTCTCTTTCCTCCATTAAAAGACAACATATAAATGCTGGAAAAATAGGAAAGAAATCATATTTCAAAAATCGGGCAAAAATGCCCCTCCTCATTCCGCGTGTAGACAGCTATATATATGATAATTCCATCCCTAGATCTACTCTCCGGATTTAACTACTGACAGGTGGTTACTGACTCTATCCTAGGCCCTTCAAAACACTCTTTTTCATGGTAGGTCTGCTGGTATAAATGTTATTTTGCTATTTGAGTAGTTTCTCAAAATGAAACACCATTACTATATAATAAAGGATACTTTGCAACCAACCAAGAAGAGGATTAAGGGTGAGTGAGACTCTATGGTTAGTATATTTCTACTATTATGTATACAATCATTTTATACGATGATATAATATTATGCATCACTATTAAAAAGACAGACAGTTATGACGAGAACTTATTAACGACACTAAATTCTCATTAGAGAAAGTCACTTTTTGACGAAAAACCTATGTCGTCAGTAATATCCACATTTTTACTGAGATTTAGAGGATGCAATTCGACCAGTCATTATTTGTGAAATTTTGCGTCAAAACAAGCCATTTTTTTTAGGATGCAATTCGAACAGTCATTATTTGTGACGACTATCTTGTTTGGCTCGGTATTCAGTAATATTAAATATTACTAAACGAAGTTTAAGTCATCATCAGGAAAAAAAATCAAATTTATTGATTATGAATACCTAGCTTGTAAGGAAAAAAGATATTTGTGATGAAATCGTATTATCATCGATAATATGTTGCCAGAAAAGATCATATTATTGACAAGATATCAAGTCATCAGAAATATTGAGTGCTATCAACGACAACTAGATTGTCATAACTCATAAGTAGCACTTGATAGAAGAGACAAATTGTATTGAAGATATAATAAGCAATACTTTATAAAAGGGTTAATAACATTTCGTTCCCTTCTACTATTGTCGATTAACAATTGTACTCCTCTATTAATTTTTTTGCACGAACATACCCTTATAATATTAAAACGTAAGGATTGTACACTTCCATCCATTTTTCTGTTATATGGGAGCTGTAAAGTAACCTTATTGTCCATCATTAAATCCCTAAACCAAAAAAAAAAAAAAAATTAGTAATCCCTAAACCAATTTCTCCATCGCCCCCAACTTTCACCAGTCTTCATCCGCCCTCTTCAAATCCCCCCACATACATACCCGCCACCGCAACCGCCGGCATCCACTCTCCAAAACCCGCTACCCATTTCGTCTCAATAGCCAGACCCAGAACCAACGTTTCCTCTTCTTCCTCCTCCGATCCTTCCAAGACTACATCCACTGCCACTAGTCCGACGAAAGGCTGCAGAATCTGCGACGAGGCCCGCTGTCACAACCTCGCCCACCCACAACTAGCCAACAATTTATCTGCCAAGTATGTACCTTTCAACGCCGGTGCCAACTCCATCGAGTCATACTCCCTCGACGTGATAGTCTACTATTCCCTATCCGGCGGCCTGCTCGACGTGCAGCACAACATGGAAGCGCTCAAGGCGTTCCCGGGTTCATACTGGAAGTCCCTGTTCGATTCCCTCGTCGGGAAGACGACTTGGACGTACAGATCAGGGGTTTGGTCGAAGAAAGAGTGGGTATGCTATCGAAGAGGCATCCACAATATGTAGGTTTTGATTTATTAATTAAATTGGTTTAAGGAAAAATTAATTATTCAAAAAAAAAATTAAATCGAAATTAGGATTTAATGAGAGGTAATAAGGTCATTTTACAGCCCATTAAACGGTCCTTTAACAGAAAATTGGATGGAAAAGTACAATAGTTACGTTCTAATATTATAAAGGTATGTTCGTGCAAAAAAACTAATAGAGTGGTACGTTTGTTAATCGGCAATAATAGAGTGGTACAAAATGCTATTAACCCTTTGTAAAAACTAGAAAAACTAGAAAGTGAGAACCCCATACCACTATAATGCCAACATTTCTTATATTTTCATGATCTAATTTAGACCAAATCAGCCTACAGTTACTATTTGATTCGGTTCACAAATCACAACTCTTCCCTGACACATGAGCATATTTAAGTGGGAGCGGATAGTATAACAACACTATGAGTGTTTTTATACTAACAACAAGATTCATTAAGGGTAAAAAAGTAAACAACACAAAATAACAAATTAAAAAAATAAATTTTCAATCCCCAGCCACCCCCTCCCCGTCTCTCGATCTCTTCTCGCTGTTGCTGGAAATCGAAGCCGACTGTGGGGATGTCGTAGACGACTAGAGCACCGGCGGCGCCGCGGTAGTAGGCGCCGCTTGAGCTTCTTGTTGGCGGTCGATTCCGACGCCGAGCTCCGCCCACGAGTTCTTTCCCATGGCGAACAGCCTCTTCTTCTTCCAGTCCTCCCCTGTATCTTCGTCCTCGACGATAAGTCCTCTATCAGCTTCGCCCTCGATTTCGTTTCTCCTACGTCGACCGTCGCATCGAACAGCTTCAACTCCGGCACCGAGGGAGGTGGAATCGAGATTGAGTTTGGAAGAGAATTGTGGGTCATTTGCCGCGATCCGCTTCTTCCTCTTTGCCTCCGGGTCGGCCGTAGATGACCTCTGTTCGGCCCGCCGATGACCTCTGGCAGGCCAATTTCGGATGTCTCCAGTGATCTCACAGTCGAGGTTGGAGGCTCAACCTTCGCCCTTAGGTAAGCACTTGATTTTGTCTCAGTTCCGAATTCAATGCACAAAACACTCAACCACCAATCTGATGCTGCAGTTTCCGCTAGTTTCACGAAGCGGAAGGATTCGGAAGCTACTGCTGGAATGCAAGGACTCCAAAATTGCACGAATCAGCATTCCGTACATCCCCGGTGGAGCCGCAGCGTTCGAGGCAGCTGCCAAATTCTGCTATGGCATCCACGTCGACATCAATCTCTCCAACGTCGCCATGCTGCGCTGCGCATCCCATTTCCTGGAGATGACGGAGGAATTCGCCGATAAGAAGCTGTAGGTCTTGTTGTGGTCCACGGCTCGCCGCCGCCAATCGTCGAACGGCCCGAACTCGCCGGAGAAAGACGACGAGTACTGCGGGAAAGACCTGCTCTTCTCCATTCTCTCTCTCTCTCTCTCTCTTGAACCTTTGAATTATTAGCTTTACTGTGGCGCTATCAGTTCGTACTCTCGAGTGTTTGTATGGTATGGGATTTGCATACCACAAATCTCCTTTTGTCTTTCCATAGTGCTTATTGTTATAATTATTGTTTTGAATTATTATTTCGAAACCTGCTAATGCATACCACAAATCTCTTAAAACAAACCACAAATCTCACAAAGCAAACCACAACATTTGCGAAAGCACATCAGAAACCTCCTAATGCAAACCAAAAATGTTATAATGCAGACCACAAATATATTAAAACAAACCAGAAACCTCGCAAAGCAAACCACAAAAGTTTCGAAAACACACCATAAACTTCTTAATGTAAACCAGAAACCTCCTAATGCATACCACAAATCTCCAAAAACAAACCACAAACCTCACAAAGCAAACCACAACATTTGCGAAAGCACACCAGAAACCTCCTAATGCAAATCACAAACACAGTAAATCAAACCACAAAAAGCAAACCATAAACGTCCTAATGCAGACCACAAATATAGTAAAACAAACCAGAAACCTCACAATGCAAACCACAAAGTTTTTGAAAGCAAACCAGAAACTTCTCAATGCAAACCACAAACACGATAAAGCAAACCACAAAAGGCATAAAAAATATGAGAAACCAAACCATAAATCTCACAATGCTAACCATAACATCCGGTGATCGTTGACCGTTGATCGGTCAACGAAAACCGTTGACCGAACTCCGATGACCGTCAGTGACCGGATTCCGGCGCCGATAGGCATATTCCGGCCCCGATGACTAGATTCCGACGCCGGTGAGCATATTCCGACCACGATGAGCATATTCCGGCGACAAAAAACATATTCCGGTGACCGGCGACCTATTTCCGGCGACCAAAATTTTGGGCCGAAAAATAAAAAAAATATTTTTTTAAATATATTTCTCATAATGACAATTATACCCCTGCTTTGATTTTACACTAGGTCAACTCATCTCATAAAAAGTCATCACAACCCTAGCTTCCTATTGGTTGGAGACTAGTGTTGTTACAATAACAACACAAGGGGTGTTGTCATAGTAACCGGTCCCTAGTTAATTAGTGAAATACAATACGGAAAACTTACGTAGAAGAAATTTTACTTCATCTCTAAATTAATGATACATTTATTAGTATGTGAATAATCATAATATATATGAAATAAATTATATTGAAATAAACATTTAAATAATGTTTTGATATTTTTTATAATATATAACATGTTCATGAGAATGTATTCTCTTCAATTAATTTTCTTTGTACTAGTTATTTGTTGTTGTACTTTTCCCTTATGTAATATCAATAAACATATAATTGTTAACATATTTGTTGAAATTATGAATTAAAATTATTATCTATGGATACTCGAAACCCAATGAGATGAACGTAATTTGATTTTATACCTAATTCTTATATATGAGTATAATGAATATGGGTAAAATCAAAATTAGTTCCGGAGCACCACCTCAGCCGTGCTCCCTCCCAATAAATATGCACCACCTGTATGATAATAAATAATAGGTGATACTGATATTTAATTAAAGTTGAAATGCCTAATTAAGGGTTGTTATCTTTGGTTACAGAGTTCTCATCCTTGGGAAAAAATGTTAAATTATTCATTTTAATTTGGAACTCCATGTCCTTTAATAGCTGAAGATACTTTTGGTATTTCCTACGGTAAATAGCTAAGGCATTGTAATGAAGAAAATACAAAATCAATGATCATTAGGTAATATCATTTTACTAATATATCGTGTAAAAAATATAGAACTACAATTATTGGTTACATAATAATTAACTTTCGTAATGATTTGACACTTTACGTGTTATTTGTTACGTAAATATATCATCGGTTATGTAAGACTCATATAATGTCATTTTACAAATATTATGTAAGATATAGATAGATGGTAAAATATATAAAACGACAATTAGTTCTTACATAACAGTTAAATCATACGTGTTATATACGACTTCTATAATGACTTAACACTTTGACGTTATAGAGTGTTAATAATCATTACGTAAAACAATGTGGAATCACTATTATATTTTACATAATAATATGTAAACCACGGACTAGACTAGACAAGGGGATGAGTTAGGGTGGCAACTAAAATTTTAGTAGCCACCATGGCTACATCACTATCTGCCGTTCATTTTTCTTGTTTTCCTCTTTTTTTAATCTCGTGGTTAATTTTGTTTTAGGGTAATTTTGGAAACAAAAAAGAGTCCACACCTGATTATTCTATATATTCTACTCAAACCCTAATCTACCATCCCTCTAGACCAACCCTAGACGACGGCGTCCGCCCACCTCCTCCACTCCCCTCCCCTCTCTCCACCCACCCTAGACGACGGCATCACCCCTCCCCCCACCTCCGCCCACCTCCACTCGGTCTCCCCTCTCTTCCACTCTCTGCCCCCCACCATCCGCCCACCTCCTCCGATCACTCTCTCTCTCTCTCTCTCTCTCTCTCTCTCTCTTCTGTTGTTCTTGTGCATTTCCGCCGGACAAACAAGCCAAGTCCGCCGGCGCCGCCCCGTCAACCAGTGGCTACCGGAGGAACTACAGCTAGCAATCTTGTCCAGGCTGCCGACCCCTGCCTCCATCACCCGATTTCGCTGCGTCAGCAAGTCGTGGCGCCGCCTCCTTTCCGACGACCCCGAATTCATCGCCAAGATCCTCTTCTCCTGCCACGGTGACCTAAAAGGCGACGAGGAGGCTCAGGTTCTAACTCTCGACGCTTTTCAGGAGTCGTACTCCATCCACTCCTGCGACTCAGGGTTGCGGCTGGAAAAGGTGGGATGAATAAAAACCCTAGATCTGATTTTTTTCGCATTGGTAGTGATTTTTTCGTAGTGGTAGTGTTTTTTTGCATTGGTATGGTTTTTGTCGCATTGGTATTGATTATTATGCAATGGTATTAATTTGCATGTATTGGTATTGTTCAATCTACAATGGTATTGATTTTTTGTGAAATGGTATAGATTTATATTGGTAGATTGTTTTAATTGGTAGGATTCGTGTAATGATATAGATTTATTTCTGCAATGGTATTGATATTTTTCAGAGTGGTAGTGATGTGATTGTCTAATGGATTGGTAGTGATTTCGTGTTTTTTCTTCTTTTGCAGAAAGATTGAGAAAAATAAGGAAAAGAGATCTGGCTGAAGATTATGGAAATGAGAGAAAGAGAGAGAATTGTAATTAATAGATTCTTGTAATTATCTAAAATGTAATTTATTAAAAAAATTAATTAATATAATTTATTTTTCATACCCAATTTACCCTTAGTAATCACCGTAACCTGTCCCACCAGACAAGACCAAGAGATCAATACATCATATAATACAGACCATAGACCAGACCAAAACATTTTTAACGGTCTATGGTCCAATCCAAACTATACGATCCATTTTGATCCATGATTTTTGAAACGATCTAATCTATTTTTCCAACTGTACTTCTTCATTCACATTTGTATATTTAAGAAAATTAGCCCAAAATCATTTCTATTATGCTGGTAACAATACTTCCCCAAAGTAATTATTATTTTCATGGCTTATTGTCTTTGGGAACAACCGTGCCAACCCAGGGAGACGAAAAAACAAATAAAAAGGGAAATTCTAGAATAATTATGGAATTAATCATTAACTTGAGTTTTCAGTATAAACCTTTTCCTTTTAATTAGTACCATACAAGTGGCGCATATTTATTGGAAGGGAGCACGACGGAGGTGGTGCTCCGGGAGCACTCAAGAATTCCTTATTTAAATAATGTAATGGATATGATATCCATCTTCAACCTACTCCGTTGTCATCCTATTATTTGTGTTCATAAAAGGCACAAACAAACCATAACAAAGAAAAGTACAAACTTTTGTATCATCATTACCAAAAATTAAGTGCCAAAATCTGTCTGAAATAAAAGGTACAAACAATTACACGTCGGTTAAAAACGAAAGAAAAACAAACAAGTAGTACAGTAGTACACCCATCACAGGGAAATTTAAATAAAAAAGAAAATTATTATCAAGCCACACGAATTTCCCTAGCCTCAAACCTCACGGGGAGCCCTCCCTTCATCTTGGTAGTCAAATCCGAAATCAGCACAGGCTCCTCCCCGTCCTCCATCGCCGGCACCACCCTAAAGCTCCTCAAAATCCCGGCCACCACCCTCTTCATCTGCAGGAGCGCCATTTCCTTCCCCAAACAAACCCTCGGCCCCGCCTGAAACACCGGATAGCTGAACGGATCCTTCCCTACGAACTTCCACTTCCCATCCTCCTCTCTCTCCAGCCACCGCTCGGGCCTAAACTCCGCCCAATCCTTCCCCCAAATCTCCTCCAGCCTCCCCATCGCGTACGGATGGTACGAAACCCTGGTCCCCTGCCTCACCTCCGTCCCGTCCGGCAAAACGTCGTCGTTCGCCGCCACCTTCGTGTCGATCGGCACCGGCGGGTACAATCTCATCGCCTCGCACAGAGCCGCGTGCGTGTAAACCATGTCCTTCACTTCTTCGTATATCGCCGTATCCGATTTCTCCCTGATTTCTTCTAGAATGTTCGATTCCACCTCCGGGTGCTTCCACAGCAGCCAGAAGAACCAGGTCAGCGCCGCCGAGGTCGTGTCCCGCCCGGCGAGGATGAAGCTGATTACGATGTCGGTCACGAATTCGTCGTCGAAGTTACGGCCCGAGCTCAAGAATCGAGAGAGAATGTCGATCGAATCGTTCTGTTTCAGCTCTGCCTTCTTCTCTCTGACGATCTTCTTCGCGAAATCCCTAACTTCCGAGACCACTTCCTTCAGCTCCGCCTCAGATCCAATCCCTAGAAATTTTTTAATCTTCCAGATTTGGGGAACCCCGGAATTGAACCGCCCGCTGATAATCCGCACCGCGTTCTCGAACGCGGTGGCGAATCGGGCCTCGGGCAGGGTCGGAGCCAGGTAACCCGGGTCGTACCCGAAGGCGATTTTGCAGATGTTGTCGAAGGCGAACCTCTGAAGAATGTCCTGCAAGTCGAGCGTGGCGGCGGCTGTGTTTGCAGCCGCGGCGGAGAGGGTTGGGATTAAGCGGGCGGAGAGCTCGGTGTCGACGACGGTCTCCACGAACTTGCGGAGGGATTTGGTGTTGAACTCGTGGCTGGAGAGCTGGCGCTGGGACTTCCAGGTGTCGCCGTCGGCGTTGAAGATGCCGTCGCCGAGGAGGTCGAACAGAGTGGTGCGGAAGTCGAAGCCCTTCTGGTAGTTGGGGAAATTGGTCTTGAGGATGTGCTGGACGTTGGCCGGGTTGGCGGTGAAGATGCGGGCGGAGCCCAGGGCGAGGCGGAGGGTGAAGGTGGCGGTGGGGGAGCTGCGGACGATGTCGGAGGTCCACTGGACCCGCCGCTCCTTGTTGGCGGCGATGTCGAGGGCGGAACCGATGAGGGGATATGATTTAGGGAGGAGTCCCACAGTGGACGACGACGTGAATTTTTGGTACTTGGGTCGGTGGTTCCTCTTCCGCGAAGATGAAATGAGATAGTAGTAGTAGGGAAGGAGAAGAAGAGCTATGGCTAGAAGCTCGGCCACCATGATTGTGGTCTGTGGAGATTGGGTAAGGTCACGTGCTCTGGGTTGTACACTGGTTTTTGTGGCTTCGCGGATAATGCTGATTCATGCTAGCTTTTGAGGCTGGGGGAGTGTTGATATAAAGGCAGATGGAAGGATTATAAGAGATTGATTATGTGATTTATGTCACAGTCACCAACGTAAAGGCTGACGCAAAAGAATTATCTAATAAAGAAAACCATTATGCACGGCATAACAAAACAAAAGCGAAAAGAATGTCATTCTAATGAGTATCTATTGGTTACGTTAATGATAAAACGAGAGAGTACAAAGAAAATCCAGGCATAGATTTTGTTTTCTTGTGAATTATTTTCTTCTCTTCGAGTTTTTGGGTGTGCTTATGATTATACAATATAAACTTAAAGTCAAACTTATTTGGAGTTTTGCAAACAATTTTGGTGGATAAAATTGATCTTGTTCCACTCAAAGTTAGATCAGTTTTAAATTTTAATGAATGATGTTTACACCTAGAAATTCGTAGTTCTATTATATATGGCAGATGAAAGTTGATTGGAACATCAAACAACTAGCCTTGTGGTTGTGAGATCGACTGACTTGGTGTGTAGGTTGATTGTTGTTTAATGGTGACTTGGGTTCCTCTCTTTTTGTAGGTCAACAACAACCATTCGTTCGACAAAAATTTTAAAGTATAATTTAGTTGAAATTTATATGAAATCACCATAAAAATTTAGAATTTGTGTCGATTTCACATATTAAAATATGAAAATTATTGTTCAGTCTTTCTTTTCAAATAAGATTTATTATTATTATTATTATTATTATTATTATTATTATTTTAACTAGTGGCTCTTTGAACTATTAACTTGTTTTTGTTGCAAACAAGTTAACAAGTTGACTTGATAGCGGTCAAATCGACAAATTTGTTTTCATGTGGCATCACTTCACACCTTTCTCAATGCATCACCTTATATTTTAAGGACTAATACTTTAATTAAAGATAATTTAGACATGAATTTTCAAACAGAACAAAGTACCAACAAATTTTTTATTTTAATATTAGGATAATAAAATGCTCTTGGTTCTTCTTTACATCCAGGAAAACCATATGGTTCAGTCGTAAAATCATGAGAATAAAATACTCTTTATTGTTCTTTCAGTTCAGGAAAACAAAATGGTTTGATTAAGGTTTAGGATTTAGAAAAGGGTAATGACTATTTATTAGCCCAAAAAATTTTGGATTTTTTTTATTTGTCAAATTTTTTGAATTACTAATAATTAGTCAAATCTTTTGTAATGCATCAAAATATTAGCCATTTTTACATTATCATTAATAATTTTATAAATATTTTCTTACTTAAATTACTAAAATTTTGGAATGTTGACTTGGATATGTCTCTTTCAAAACAATATTATGTTGTCAAGTCAATATTAATAACAAAATTGCTAACGGTAAATTAACATTTGACTAATTAATAGCTTTTCAATAGGTTTGGCTAATAAAAAAAATCTAAATTTTTTTTTTTGCTAATGAATAGTTATTACCTTTAGAAAATGATAGATATTTCAAATACAAAGTTTGCCACTACACCTACTACATGTCAACTGTCCAACATCCACTCGTCATTGGTTATTTAATGTGGCATCACTTCACACCTTCTCAATGCATCACCTTATATTTTTTTTATGGGCTAATACTCTAATTTGATATGTACTTAAAAGATAATTTAGACATGAATTTTCAAATAAAACAAAATACCAACGAAAATTGTGGTTTTAATAGATCTCTTATCAATTGTAAATCAAGCGAATGAAAATGCTCTTGGTTCTTCTTTACATTCAAGGAACCCATATGGTTATCAGTCGTAAAATTACGAAAATGAAGTGCTCTTCATTCTTCTTTCGAGCGAAGAAAACAAAATGTTTAATTTGGGTTTAGGATTTAGAAAATGGTAAATATAATATAATAGTTAAATATTTTATTTTAAACAACATAATATTAAAAAAATTTGAAAAATAAAATAATAATCAAATTGTTAACTTATCATTTAGTTTTTCCTTAGTTGATTTTGCCACTTTGGTGTGGCAAAGTCATTGATGAGATGGACAAAATTTGGTGGCTTTGCACGGAGTCACATGTTTGGCTATGCCACATATGAAATTATTTATATTAACAATATATATATATTTTTATGAATGGGCGGGCTTTTATTCATCAATACAATCTATACAAAGTGACCAATTTTTACATGGAACTGCAACACTTTACATGCAACTACACCACTAAACAAACTAAGTACAAGTCAACAATGCCAACTAATTCCTCCTTCCATCAGAGACTCCGTTGCTATCACAGTTGCTGAGCATCCAGGGATTCAACTAACTTTGGGTCTCCAGCCGCCTTTGCTTCCTTAACCACCTGCAACTGGTGAACCAGATCTGTTACTAACATCTGTTTTCCCCCATACAACCGGCGACATCTCTCATGCCATGTTTCACTCAACACTAACCAAAGAACTCTTCCAGCTTGACATTTCTGTAACTTCTTAATCGCAAAGTCTATAGCCTACTATGAGTTAGTCGATAGAGGGACCTGCCAAGCTACTGGAAAAATAGTCCTCCACACATCCTGTACATACACACATTGAAAAAATATATGGTCTCTAGTCTCAGGTAGTCGTTGACACAACGGGCAAGTAGTGCTCATCTCCGGATTCTAACAGTGTACCTTATCTAGAGTAGTGATCTTACCAAGTAATATCAACCAAGTAATAACCGAGTCTTTGGAATACCTCCTTTCCAGACAAGCTTGGACCACACCACAGAAACTCCTCGTGGTCTAATACTCTGCCAGACTTTGCTAATATGGAATCTGGCCATCAGTTCTCCTTCCCATTCCACTCCACGATCTGTTTTACATAATTTCCCATCAAAACTGTCACGAAGTTTGAGGATCTTATTCCACACCCAAGAAAATTTCCAGTATCATTTCCCCTCCCTCCCGATCGACCCACTCCCCCTCCGGCAAATCCCGCCGTTGTCATCCATTAATCCACTTTTTCTGCATTTTTCTTTCTCTAGTCAACCTATCGAGCTTTCCACTTCAGACGCAGTTCCAACCATCTTCTCCCCATCTCCTCTTTCTTTTGATTTCTCTATCATTCTCGGCCTTTTTTTTATCTTAACCCTATCCAATCCCCATTTCAGCTTTCTTCCTCTGTCAAAAAATTTATTCGCAGTGCCTCAATTCAGGTGTCCCTTTTTCTCTTATTCTTCTACAAGATCCTCCATCATAGTCAGATCTTTGATCCTTCATTACGTGTTTATTCCACTGCCTTTGTTGTGGAACATAGTATTTTTTTATCTCACTTTTCCATTCTAGCTTCCTCTATCCCATTCTAGCTTTCAGACTTTACACTCTCCTCTCCGCTGATTTACCAAAACAGCAAGAAGCTACTCTGTTTAGCTTGTATGATACATTGCAGAAGAACAAATGTTCTTTTGATCTTTTCTTTCTGATACATTGTCCAACGAGTCCATAAATTTACATCATTAATATGTGAGAAGGCTATCTAGACCCTTTCAAGATGTGCAATGAATGTTGTTACCACACTTAACTATTTTGTAACAAGGGATTAGATGAGGAGAAATGGAGAATCAAGACTTGGATCGTTTCTTATCCTGCTAAAAGGTTGTCACATGGGACTGGTGTCTATACTACATAGACTTGATGGATATGTGTTTAGAAATGCTCATGTACGTGAGTGAAACAATTGATTATTTGATGGGATTTCATGAACATATATAACAACAAGGATTTGTAGACTAACCAACTGATTCATAATGATCATTTAAGAGTTTCTAAGGTGCGTATTTATCCCTAGCTCCTGTAGTTTGCAGTCATTGCTACAACAACAATTGTCCAACATTGCAGAGTAGCTCATAGTTCGACAAATTGGAGCATTTCATACCCTTATCAGTCATGACATGCTGTTTTCCTTTCAGTTTCATAGAAGACCTCTTTTCTATTAAAACCTGCGACTTATTCTAAGATTTCATGAATAGATATGTCAGCAAGTATTCGAATATTATTTGAATCAGGATTTGATCCGAGTTGAGTTGTAGGTATATATGGAACATGGCTAAAACAATAAACTAATGCCCGCTTATCGTCTTGCCTCTAGCAAACTTAGTCGGTGTAGCTCAAACTGATCTCTCCTCATGCCCAAGGGATGCTTTGAATTGGCAAAAGTGACTGCTTATGATTCATCTTATGCTGCCTCCTTCAAGTTATTGCCCTCTTCTAATGATTTGGTTCCCTTTTTCATTCAGTTTTCTATTCTCAATTTTCGAGTTCAGCTAGCTCTTAGTGGTATGTAATGTCACTCCATGTATTTAATGTATTTTCAATATCACCTCATCTATTGGTAATGAGAAATTGGTTACTGTCTTAGCTAAAGTGAAACTTCATGCCACTTACAGGTTGATACAGAAGGTGACCTTACATCTCCAAAAAACAACAATTTGATAGTGGAAGGAAAGCAGTTGAAGAAGTTGTCAAGTTGCAGCTAGGGATGGCAACAAAACCCGAACCCATGGGTACCCACCCGACCCAACCCGGTCAACGCGGGTAAAATCCGTGTTGACGGGTTTTGGGCAGGGTTCGGGTTTAAATCTGTTCGCTATTCACCGGGTTGGGTTTGGGTTTAGGTAAACCCGCTCCATGGGTATCCGTCCACACCCATATAATTAATTTTCTCGCCATATTAGCTTAGTGAAACTACTTCAAGTGAAATTGACCATAGGTAAACTGTTGAGAATCTGACAGTAGGCAGACTCTAAATAGCCCTTAAAATACCACATTTTTTCATAGACGGAAGGAAGGTCACAGGATATTTGGCATTAATAATGCTTTCATGTTATTTTCTCATATAGGTCCCTAAACGTGAAGCATATAGCGAGCGGGCTTTCCTAGTACTACTAATAAGATCTAATTTGGAGGATCAAATAGAAGTCGTGGGCCAGATTGTCTTTTTTCTGGTCTCCACGAATCAAAGGAACTCATTTTACAAGACTGTAGATAGACAAATCCACTAAGGACTAAGGTTACTAAGCTTGGATGTTGATGATTTCACTTGCGATGAAGCTTGAGCTGTTCAAGGTGGATTAAGAAAGTGTTCTGATGGAAAAGGTACAGAAATTGGGGCTATTCTTTGGTTCATGTGGAGAGAACGGAAGAATCAATACTTTACAAGAAGGAGATAGATGAGGATGAGATATGTAAGAGTTGTATTGAGGTTGTACGATTACGTGGACATCCAAGAAGCTCAAACAAAGCACTTTTCAGCATGAAAATGTCACAATAATTGGATCTATGGGCTTGCCTACAGGTGGATCTCTCCAAATTAAATTATAATGCACGCTTTCTCAAGCTAGATGGAATTATAGTGGGTGGCGTCCTTCACAACGATAGAGCAGGTTTTTCTTGTGATTTTTAGGAAAGATG